TGATAGCTTTAGGAGGGAGTTGTCTAAAGATCTGAGAAGTAAAGAGGTCGCATCCAGGTGATTTGCGGGTTGGTAGTTTTTGTAAGTGGAATTTGACCTCAGAAGGATTAACTGCTTTAGGCGGTAAGGAGAGTGGGATGGATTCCGGATGAGAGGTGAATGTAAGGGAAAGGTGTTTGGCGAATTCCTCGGCTCTATCTTCGTCAGACGCTGCCCAAGAGTCATCACCTCGACGGAGAGGATGTGATATATAATGGGGTTTTAGGATTTTTTTAGTGATCTTCCTTAGGGAATTGTCATGAGAAGAGAGGGAAGTAAGGTTGGAGTTGAAGGATTGGGATCTGAAGGTGGCCAATTCTAGCTTTAATTTTTTGCAAAAATAATTATAAGATTGACGATCGGTAGGGTGTCTAGTACGTTGCCATAATAATCTGGCACGGCGTTTGGTATGAATTAGGTCTATGAGGTGTTGAGGTAACTTATTTTTCTTGGGAGTTCTTGAGGAGTGGTTTGGAGTGGAAGCAGTCCAGATTGCTTGTAGGATAGTGGTGGTAAAAAAGTGCACGGCATTGTCAAGGTTATCTGTGGTTTTCAGAGTTATTCTGAGGTCAATTTTATCAAAAAGGATTTGGTAAAAGAGTTTCCAGTTAACTGGGCCTCTGATGAAGGATGGTGGAGAAGACTTAGGAATAGGAGCTAGAGATAATTGGAGTAATAATGGACTATGATCTGAGGATAATTCGGCAAAACGGGTAAGGGAATGATTGAGGGGACCTAAGCCACTGTGGTTGATAAAATCAAGGATAGGAGGTTAGGATCTGTGGGCCAGTAGGTAGGTGAGTTAGGAGGAAGGATACTGAGACGTTCGGAATTGAGTGCAGATAACAATGTTCTGCCACGAGAGTTCGTGGTTCTAGAACCCCATTGATGGTGTTTGGCGTTCAAATCTCCACCCAGGATGAAATGATGTCCTAAGGAGTTGAGAAGAGAACTGAACTGGATATTGGATATGGATACCTAACAGAGGGCAATATGCTGATGCTATGGTGACGGGAAAGGAGAAGGTTTTGATTACGATACGTGGATTGTAGGAAATCTTGTGTCGGTAATGGGAGCTGGTGATGAGAAAGGGAGTGGTGTTCAATAACAGCGGTATCGGCATGTGATTTGCCGTCAGGAGGGTCAGTATGGTATGTTATGTATTGAGGTATTTTTAAATGCTGTTTTCTGGTCAGTCGTGTTTCCGTAATTACTGCTACGTGGATGTTCTTAAAGCTGTTAGTTCGTCAACGTGATTTCTAACACCATTCGCATTCCAAAGGAGAATGGATATGGGTTTCGGGATGTGAGTCATTAAGGATTTTTTAAAGGAGGGATGAGGTGAGATACGAGCTTTGTGAGGAGTGATATGAATGGAGTAACTAAGGATTTGAAATCGGTGAGGAAAGATGCCAACAAGCTGTTGAGATCAGTTGCATTAGAAGGAGGAGGGATATGATGAATTTGTTGTTGATGGTTAGGTATATTCGGATCAATAGGATTTTGAGGTTGGGGTTGATGTTGTTGTTACAGCAGGGCTTGATAGTTATCGGTTGAGTTCTTACCTCTAAGTAGCTGGGAAAATGATACACTATTGTTTACTATTCTAGAAGGCTCTCTCTCTTCTTGGTCTTCCTGCTTCATCTTGAATCCGGTTTTTCTGGTGTCTTGATTTGAGATCCTTGTAAATTTGGCATCCTTTGTAGTTAGCCAGGTGCCCTTCCAGACATAGTGCACACACTGCAGGATCTTGTATCGGTTTAGTGCACCCCACAGATTTGTGCTGTTTGCCGCATTTCACGCAACGCGGCAGATGGTGACAATAAGTCTTAGTGTGGCCATACGCCTGAGAATTGTGGCACTGCACGATTTCTCTCTTGGGTTATTGTTTCTCTACTTTCACAATTGTGTAATATAATCTTGTGTATCGTATATTTTCTCAATACCGGGTTATGGCTCCAGTTCCACGAAAAATAAAGGTAGTGGAACTTTATTTTTTACTCCAGGCTGCTCCTTATTCTCCTTCAGAACGTTGGTTACAGGACGTACTTTGAAAACAAGCGCCGCTAGTTCTTCTTTTATCACTTCAGTTGGGGTTGAGGAGTGTAAATTTCTTATTACTACTCGTAACGATCTCTCTTGCCTAAGCTGGTATGTATGAAAATTCGGATTCGTTTCTGAAAGGTACCTCACTATTATTCGGTAGGTTTCAGCAGTATCCGGTGTTATCTTTGTATCGTTGGTCCTGTTAAGGCATAAATAACTGCCAGAGCAGATTTTATTTAGTTGGGTGCCGAACAACTTGAAATTTTTGATATTTTTCACAAATATCGGAGGAGGCCTTGGTTCTGTGGGTATAGCTGCAGACTCCATTACCTCTCGGTCATTTTGAAGCACTTGGTAGGGGTTTGGAGTAAAGAGAGGGGATTCTTCAATCATTTCTCGCGAAGAAGTTCCTGGTTGTGGCTGAGGTTCTGGTTCTGAAGTGTTCACTTTTGTTGTTGGAGATGTTTCTCGTAGGTAGCGACGAGTTCTTTGTTTTGCTGGTGAACTAACTCCGTCTGACCGAGTCGCTTGGGCACCTTACTGGACATCACTTGGTGAGTATACCGCATACCATAAGAGAAGAAAGAAAGAAAGAATGAAAGGAAAAAAAATTATTAAAAAAAATATATACATCAAACAAGCAATATAAACTGCTCTGGTGTACACGTGAAATGTATTAAATGAAAAAATCAGAGAGATTCCGCTTAAAAATAGGCAAATACTCAGAGACCAGTTTAGAGCACAACCTTCCAATCAGCTGATCCACTCCACTGCCTTCTAGATCCATTCATTAAAAATTAAAACCGATTACACCTTCAGATTACCGGCCAATCGCTCTATTGCCCATAGTGTCAAAAATACTGGAAAGGATAGTCGAGAGAGACTTGAGAAGAGTTTTGGAAGACAATGAAATACTCTCTCCGTAATACTAATGAAATACTCATGCGCCCCCAATGAAGTACGGAAAGAACTAAGAAACAATCAAGTCATTGATGTCAAGAGGATAGATAGAGATGTTCTGTGTGGCTTTGATGAACTCCATCGATTTTTTGCATCCCATCCCCTGGGCCCTCATAGTGCGGTAAAATATTTTGTACCGACAAATAATTATGTGGATGACCTAATTTTTCATGATATCGGATAGGATAGGATGATGTTGTCTGGAGTATCAGTAGGGCGAAGATAGAGTAGATGTGTTTTCAAAGAAGATGATCGGGAAGGTGGTGGTCACCAATTTCCCCGAAGCGTGTAGAAGATTCGCAGATCTATCACTAAAAAATTAAAACCCGTCACAAGTTCGGATTTCCGGCCATTTGCTGTATGGCCCATCGTGTCAAAAATACACGAAAAAATTGTTGAGAGGGACTTAAGTAGATTTTTGGAAGATAATGAAATATTATCTCCATTCCAGTCAGGGTTTTGACAAGGGCGAAGTATATGCACTGCACTCCATACATATCTGACTGAAGTGCGTAGAGCGATGGACGAACGAATGGTTACAGTATTTGTATCACTCGATCACACTAGAGCGTTTAACTCTGTCGACTACGAAATGTTTCTAAGGAAATTCGGAGGTTTAGGGGCAAGCGAGCAAGTATTACAATGGTTAAGATCATATTTAATCGGACGGACCCAGGCTCGGGGTGGCTGGAGTGCAACTCGGGTGTCCCACAGGATTCCGTTCTTGTCACGTCGTGGCTCTGAAATACTGTAAAATCCACATGTTTGTTGATGACATAGTTATTTGGGCTTCTGCATTGCCTGAGGTAGTGGTTGAGACTATGCAGTGGGTTAATAACGATATTAATTCACTTCAGCGCTGAGCCTTCTCCAACAGACTCCACCTAAATTATAAAAAATGTAGCTGTATGCTAATTGGGAGACCTAAACTGGTTGCAAAAACCAAGAAGGACACTTCGCTGCCCCCGCTGACGATCTTGGATGATGTCATACGCCAATCTGGAAAAATGAGAATCCTTGGAGTGATGATTGGTAACTCTTAATCGTGGCGCAATCATGCTGGTCTCGTAGTGTATATGGCGTTATGCATTCTCTCTTAAGGTGGAAGAGGCGATTATCGACTGAAGTCAAGAAGATAATTGTATCTGTGCTGATCCTCCCCATGGTGTGGTACTGCGACTGAGTCTACATTGACATATCAGAATCAGAAGACGACAGAATACACAGGGCTCTCAATACCGCAGACCGTTTCATATTTTGTTCAAAAAGAGAACACCACATATCTCCACATTTAAACGAATTAGGCTGGTTGCGAGCAAAAGACTATAGGACACTTAATTTAATGTGCTTTGCAAGACAAATTCTGGACTGCGGAGATTCTAAGGAACTAAGGAAAGGGTTCGTTGAGGCACAAAGTGATAGGTTACAGCGAACATTTCAGTTGCCGGTTTGCAGAACCAAGATTTTCAGGAACACATTTCAAGCAGCAGCGGTGAGGTAGGTCAATCGTCTTCCGGCAGGGGTAAGAACTGCGTCCTTTTTCCGCATGGCTTGTGTTAGGCGATTCCTTACCGAGAGTTGGTCGAGTGCACAATAAAAAATCAAAGTTCTTCCAATTACTCTCACCCGATAAACTCTCTCTTATTTATACATTTATTTATTTTTTCATTCTTTTCTCTCTTACTTTCTACTTATAATCTTATTTTATTTTTTTATACATATTCACATCTGCATTACATATATTTACGAACAATAAAATTGCAAAAAATATTGCAAGTAAGGTACAATGCATATTGTAATGAAAATTCTAAATGTACAAGTATTTTTTTCTGTAAGAAAGGACTACAGGTCCAAAGACAAATCTCTCTCTCTCTCTCTCTCTCTTGCTCTCTTTTTCTCAAACTTTTTTGTTTTTATGAATATTTATCTTTTTATCAGTCCATTTGATGTTTCAGGTTTCACTCCAGATTTCAATGAAGTGTTGAAGCAATTTACCGAAAATGACCTTCCTTTAGTATTCTACAAGCAAAAGTATGTCGCCAATTACTCTGAAATCATGAATTCGAACCGTTTTGGACGTTTGGATCTCATCCTAGAACCGCCAATCAGCCCTTTCTATCACATTGTCATCATAGGTAGTGGTCCAGGAGCCCAATCTGTGATAGCCGTAAGTTTTATAAATACTTAGGTTTTTTCATACAATTACAAAACATAATTTGAAGATTAGACATCATTAACGGTCTAAGCGCCGAACTAACAAATTTGATTCAGACAATTTTAGGCAAGCTGTATGTCATTAACAGCATACTGTAAAGCGAGTTAAATGCTATGATAATTATCAAAAAGGATCAACATTGATGATTCTGTTATTCAACTCCCTTCTTAGGATGATGGACAATAACCTAAATAAATGATCAACTAACAGAGATAGACTAGCGAATAACAAGTGCAAATATAGCTTTCTTCTCTCTTTCAAGGGTACTGAAATCAACAAAAATCTCCAGAAATCTCAAATTAAGGGTGAACAACGCCGTGATAAAGCCAGTTCTGCTGTACAGCTGTGAAACCTAGGCTCTAACCAGCATCCTTTGGAAATCCCTCAGTTCTGAAAGATTTGAAAGAAAGTCCTCCGTAGTTTAACAGGACCTATCTGGGGATCAGAACCTTACAACACGGAGGAGAAACAGATTTATTTTCAATATATCTTCACAAAAAATTTAAACACTAAAATTATTAACAATCACAATACTCTTTAATTACTGAGATATTATATTGTAACTAAAGTACAGGGAATCAATGACTAAATTCATCTTCAAATTCACTATTGTTTGATTCACTAAATTAATTTATCCATGAGGTTAGGGGGGTTTCCTTAATCCAAAAGGCATCCGAACAAATTCAAAGTTAGTAGATAAGAAATGGAGGAGGTAGCGCACAGAATTGCACAGCCAATCAGAAGCCAGGATTTCAGTGACGTCATCATGGCGGGAAGTTTTAATTTAAATTTTAACTACAGCACACTGCCTTTTAGGACCTCCAACCAGCCTTAACCACCACGTCGCCAGTCACGTGACCACCAGTCACGCTCCTTTTCGATCCTGTGACTTTCACATTTCCCCTCCCCCCAACTCCTTTCTAAAAGTTCAAGTCCGACCGCCATTTTATTTTCAGGTACTTAACGAGTTTTGCACCTTCTATGACGTCACTTCCCGTTTTGATCCTGTGACCCCACCACTCCTCTCTAAGATGGCAAGCCCGGTCACCATTTTGTTTTTTCCGGTAATCTTCTTAATGTTATCTTTTATTTAACCTTCTTAATATTTATCTTTTAAGAGTCGCGTGGTCGGTCACGTGACCTGCTATTTGAGAGACAGGAGCTTTGCCCGCCATTTTGTTTTTTCGGTAACCTTCCTAATGTTTATCTTTTATATGACCTTCTCAATGTTTACGTTTTCAGAGCCACGTGATCAAACACGTGACCTGATATTTGAGGGGCGGGAGCTTTGTCCGCTATTTGTTTTTACTGTAACCTTCCTAATGTTTATCTTCTGTATAACCTTCCCAATGTTAAACTTCCATACAACCTTCAAAATGTGTCTCTTTTCAAAGTCCCGTGACCTGCGATTTGAGAGCGGGAGGACTTTGTCCGCCATTTTATTTTTCCGGCAACCTTTTTAATGTTTATCTTTTACATAACCTTCTCAATGTTTACCTTTTGAGAGTCACGTGATCGATCACGAGACCTGCGTTTGAGAGACGGGGAGGAGGCTTTGTCCGCCATTTTGTTTTTCTATAACTTCCCTAATGTTTATCTTTTCCATAATGACAAATCCGGCGCTTCTCCCTCCATCCCAACCATAATAACCATCATAATCTTACAGTAACCTCCCTAATTTTTTATTATTATATGGAGTTCTTCATGGAATTTTACGGACCTCCCTAGAGCCCCGCGGAGGTTCTTTTTTGCTATAAAACCAACCGTTTTCGAGATATTCGACATATTATGTTTAATTTTTTATTATTTATTGGGATATGCTGTAATTTTTTTTTTTAGTAATGCTATAAAAGGCCTCTGGAGCTTTCATATTTGCATATTTTGAAGTAATTTCAGGTATGTAAACATTACACATAATTCTGTTGCGCAGATAGCGGACTTGATCCCTCTAATCCTTAAGATATAAACCACCTCATAGGTCGCCTTAATCCACTATCTAAGTACAAACAATGGACTTGGACTCTCACATCTTTCTTATCTCTTATTGTTCTCCTTCTTCTCTCGCTATCTCCTGTGTGCTGCTAAGCGTGGAATAGCTGTCTCTGACCATCTTGTCCAACGGCCCCTGACCTAACAAGCCTTCTCATCTCCGGCATGGTGCTTCCTCTCGCTGTGCCAATTCTCTCAATCAAGTCTGCATACATATGCCTTAGCCTGCCTTGGGGTTGCCTTCCTCCCGGTCTTGCTTCTAGAAGCCACCTGGCCTTACGGTCATCTCCCATTCTATTAACATGCCTGTACCACTTCAATTGCCTTTCTTCAATCGTCTCTAGGACGGATCTAACTCCTATTTCATCTCGCACCCTTTCATTCCTTATTCGATCTCGCCTGGTTTTCCTAATATTTTCCGTAGGAATATCATTTCTGCAGATACAACCTTGCTGGCATGGCGGTCCAAGAGTGTCCAGCTCTCTGATCCGTATTGCACCACTGGCAGAAAAACCGATTTGAATAGCAGAATCTTCGCTTTTCTGCTCAACTCCTGCTTTCCAATGAGTGTCATGGATATTTGGTAGTATATTCCATTGGCTTTTTGGACTCTATTCATGACCTCCTGGTCTGTTCTTCCATCCCTGCCAATCATTGTGCCCAGGTAGCTGTAGGTAACGGTTTGCTCAAGGGTCTCTCTATTACAAGTGATTCTAAGATCCTCGTTCCTTCGTTCAACACACATGACCCTGCTTTTAGATGGATTGATCTGCATGCTTCTGAGTTGCAGTTCTTCTTGCCACTCATTCACAGCGACCTGAAGCGATTCAGCACTATCCGCAACCAATACCACATCATCTGCGTACAACAATGCCTGTGCCAACACTGGGGTCATATTCCAGTATCCCACTATTGCTCTAGGTGTCCTCTTTTTAAAAAATTTCCAAATGGCATCCATGAAAATTATGAACAGTAGCGGACTCAAGCTATCGCCCTGTTTAACTCCCCTAAAGAAATGGAATGACCTCAGTGCCGGCTAGCCTTATTACTCCCTTTGGGTCTTGGTACACTGACTTAATTGCACTAATAAGATTTTGTGGGATTCTCCCATCATGCAATGCATCCCATATTTCCTGTCTAGGAACATGGTCGAAAGCCGCCCGTAAACCTCTATTCCATGCATTCTCTACAATCATTCTAAGAGAGAAGATATGATCTTGTGTCTGCCTGCCAGGTCTAAAACTTGCCTGTTCCTCTTCCAGATCTTCTTCCACCAATTTCCTTAATCTTTGTTCCAGGATTGTAGTATATACCACCGATGACAGACATATGGGGTGGCTATCATCGCATACACTTTGGCTTCCCTTCTTATGGATTTGGGTAATGATGTTGTTTTCCCATTATATGGGTATCCTTTTGAGATCCCAAACCTTTTGGAATAGTATTTGGAGACACTTGACTACCTCATTTCCTCCATATTTTATAAATTCGGGTGCAATCCCATCTAGCCTAGCTACTTTTCCCATCTCTACTTTAGCAATGGCTGCTTCGACTTCCTCCTCTTCTATGGTGTCATCCATGTCGGGGACTTCTGGTTCAGTTCATCTAAATGTTCTACGGAGTTTTCCAGCATCTACGAAAAAGTACTTTAGGTCATACCCGAGAGTAGTCAAGGAGATCCGTGGTGCTTGGATGGAGATTCCTGGACTTTCAAGGTTTTGAGTTTTCTTTGGGATCCTAAACTCGATCATTTTAGGAATTGAATACAGGAAAGTGGGCCTATTTTTACTAAGCGAGGTATTCTATCCTTCATTGCCAAAAGTTTCGATGTAAATTTAGGCCAGATGTAGTCTTTTAATTCTTTACTATTTCGTTATTCTAAATATTTGTCCCAGAATAAAGCTATTTTCTGTTTTATTCTATTCTAAATGGTTATATAGCATTTCCAAGTCAATTTCAACCTTTTCCAAGTCAAATTCAACCTTTTCCAAATCAAATTAAACTTTTTCCAAGTCAAATTAAACTTTTTCCAAGTCAAATTCGACCTTTTCCATTTCAAATTCAACCTTTTCCATTTCAAATTCAACCTTTTTTTATTTATTTAATTATCTTTAATTTTTCGATGTGTGGGTCTGTTATCGTATGAGTAGTTTTTGAAAATAACCTCCTTTTTAAGATTACGTGACTGCGTTTCGAATTATTTAAGTTTTTTTACTTATTCGATATAAGAGTGTATTTTTATGTTTCCCGATCAGTAAATTTTGAAAATGACATCCATTTTATGTTTACGCCACTGTGTTTTGGATTATAAAAGTTTTTTTTTTACTTTCTCGGTATAAGGATCTACTTATATTTTATCGGAGAGGTATTGAAATTTTTCTAATCTTTAATATTTAAATTTATCTAATATTTAAGCTCCATTTTATGATTAAGCCGCTGCATCTCGATTAATTAGGCTTCATTTTGGATCTTTCAATACAAAGTTTCATCAGTATGTTTTCGAGTATGAATAAATAAATAAATATTATGAAGCTAAAGTTAAATTAACCACAGAATACAAACTAAAAAGCCGAAAAGCAACTGGTAATAAATTTAACCTACCGTATTCAGATTTTTCAGCTAATTGTTCGAAATCTTATAATTTTGTGACAGGAGACCACAACATTAAAAAAGATAACTAAAATTAAATTAAAAATGAGACAATACATATTTTATTTATTTTGATTAGATATTTTTATTTATTTATTGAAAAATAGATTAATCCTTCGTATTTTTTTTTATTCGAAGGAAAAAAAAAACTAAAAAAAAAAAAAAAAAAACCGAAACACAGTGGCCTAATCTTAAAATGTAAGTCGTTTTAAAAACTAAGGCTCCGGCATCATAAAAGTAGACCTTTAAATTGGATAAGTTCGAAAAACTTGAATAAGCCGAAACGCAGTGGCGTAATCTTAAAATGGAGGTCATTTTCAAAATCTACGACTCCGGAAACATAAGAATACACTCTTTTATGGTAAAAATTCGAAGCACTTAAAGAAATCGAAATGCGGTGGCCTAATCTTAAAATGGAGGTCGTTTTCAAAATCTACGGCTCCGGAAACATAAGAATACATCCTCATATGAAAAAAATCAAAAAAACTCAAAGAAATCGAAACGCGGTGGCCTAATCTTAAAATGGAGGTCGTTTTCAAAATCTACGGCTCCGGAAACATAAGAATACACCCTCATATGAAAAAAATCCGAAAAACTCAAATAAGTCGAAACGAGGGGCCTAATCTTAAAATGGAGGTCGTTTTTAAAATCTACGGCTCCGGAAACATAAAAATAGACCTTTATATTGGATAAATTCTAAAAACTTAAATAAGTCAAAACACAGTGGCGTAAACATAAAATGGATGTCATTTTCAAAATTTACTGATCGGGAAACATAAAAATACACCCTTATATCGAATAAGTCAAACAAAACTTAAATGATTCGAAACGCAGTCACGTAATCTTAAAATGGAGGTTATTTTCAAAACTAGGTACAGGACAGCATAATACTAGTCCCTAATAAATCCGAATAGGTACAATAAATCGATATCCGTAAGTGAAAATTCTACTTAGGAGAGCATAATAATAGACTTTCATATTGGAGGGGGGGGGGATGGCCATTATTAAAAAAAAAATATAAAATTTACAAAAAATTAAAACATTAATTTGAAATGAAAATGGTTGAATTTGAATTGGAAAAGGTTTAATTTAAATTGGAAATGGTTGTATTTGACTTGGAAAAAGTTTAATTTGATCTGGAAAAGGTTGAATTTGACTTGGAAAAGGTTGAATTTGACTTGGAAATAATTGAATATGACAAAGAAATATCACACTGAAAAAATCTAAAATGTTAAAATAAATGGATATGCAACCGCGTTATAATTTTTTTTTTGTATTTTTCAAAAGCTATTCCTTCGATATTATGGTAAGTGGCCTTCATTTCGAAAAAAATCGAAAATTGACAAAAATTTGAAAGTTGACTTGGAAAAGGTTGAATTTTAAATGGAAAAGGTTTAATTTGACTTGGAAAAGGTTGAATTTGATTTGGAAAAAGTTGAAATTGACTTGGAAATGCTATATAAGTCCGGTAATTTTTTCCGTTAAATGCCTATTACAGCGTTTGTGGCTGCTTATGGTTGATTGGGATGATGAGTGCCCTCTAGTGTGTCTTCATTGTGGAAGGATTTCCTTGAAGTATTTCCGAGCTTGAGAAACGTTTGCTTGCCTCGTTATAATATCCGCCAGAACACACCATTCATGCAAATAATCGCCCTTTCAGTCGCATCCAAGAAGTTTAAGGAGCTTTATCAATTTGTTAAGGGCCAGAACGAACCCGTTTTTAACCAGTTAAGTCGGACGGGCATAAAAAATGAATCTTTACTTCTGCAGAATCTCCTCATTTCGGTGGTATTTGGGACGCAGCTATTAAATTCGCTAAGAGACACCTTCTTGCCGTTCTCCAGGAACATGCGTTGACGTGTGTGGAATTTTATACTCTTCTGGTTCGAGTTGAAGCCGTTCTTAGTTCCCGTCCTATCTCTAATATTAGCAGTCAGTTTTCGGATAATCTGGATCACCTTACCCCAGGACATTTTCTTATAGGTGAACTCCTCCTAGCCAGACCAGAACAAGAAGACGCAACTGTGTTTCCTTTGACAAGCCGTTGGGAGATGATTTCTAAGACTCTTTGTAATTTTTGGAAGAGATGGTATAATGAGTACCTCCACAATCTGGTCCCTTGCAACAAGTGGTATACTGACAGAGAAAATTTAAAAGAAGTTACCCTTGTAATTCCACATGAAAAAGATGTTCCACTGTAGGAGTGGTGGCTTGCCAGGATATTTGAGACACTTCCAGGGCCTGGCGGTGTAGTTAGTGTGGTAAAATTGAGGACTGCTACAGCCACTTTGGTACGACCGGTCCACAAATTAGATCCTCTCGCTTCTGAAGAAACCTTTTATTGATATGAATATATTTTTTTTTACTTGAATTTAATGAAGAGTCGTTTTATTTTAAATTAATTGTAATTTATTAGCCTATATTTGATCTGGCTCACTTTATTTCTAATTTTCCAAAACTCTATTTTAAATAATTCTCTCTTTCTTTATTGTGAAGCAAGCAATTTTCCTCTCGTTTATGCCTTGCCTGGTAATCGCTAATCTTTGAATTTGTTTTTTTCTTTTTGTTTGTGAAATGAGATATTTCATGGTGATGGATATATTTGTGCAAAGATAGTTCCCAATTATCTCGTTTGCGGAGAGTGGTAGGGGCAGATTAGGAGATTTAAAAGATAAAATTTAATCCGTACGAGCTTCTGATACGACTGCCGATTCCAGCCCAGGTATCCACGGAAGCAAGCAGACTAGCAGACTTGAGAACCCTCAGGTTAGAGAGATATCTTTACCAGCATAAGAATAGTAAGCTGTTTTCCACAATTCCTAAAACCAATACATTAAAATACAGTCCACTATAATGTTGCCAATAATTTGAATGTTGCCTATTAAGAACTCATAAGAGTTATTTGCCTCGCCTTAATTAAAATTTGGAAAGTTACCTGAACACAGTCTATTCAGCTAACATCCCAACCCATCCCAACTTTCATCACCATCTATGCTGATGACATATGTGTCCTATCAGTCAATAACGACCCATCAATTGCTTCCCAAATTCTTCAATCACACATCACAAATCTTGAAGAATAGTGTCAAAACTGGCGAATCAAAGTAAATTCCAATAAGTCCCATAAAATTAACTTTACCATTCGACGTTAACCTATGACTTACTATCCCATAGTATCCTTTAATAATACTTCCCTGTTGAACAAATCCGATACTTAGGACTACACCTGGACAAACAACTAACTTGGAATCCTCATACCAGATTAAAAATACAAGAAACCGCTCGACGTTTCCGACTACTTCAGCACTTCCAGACAAACGCTCTAAACTCCCAATTAACTACAAAAGACCTATATACATGACTATAATAAGGCCTATTTGGACATATGGAGTTGCTAACCTTGCTTCCTCTTCGATCCCTGATAACCCACCGAGGCGTCTGAAAAGAAGATGGCCTTGCGATCTCCTATTGCAGATACTTTATTAGAGTGCTGCCAATGGATAGATTCTCTATAATTCTTTTCATGTTATTGTATCTCTCTGTACAAATTTACTAGATGTATATTTAATCTACACAGTTGTAAATTTCACGAATAAAAATTAAAAAAAAAAATGTATCCACCCCATTTTTTTACAGTAAAAATGTTCAGTATTTTGACAACAAACATTAAATAAGTTTTTTATTTTTTTATTATTAGTTTTAATTCATACTAAATGTAAAATATTTAAATTTAAATTTCAGGAACTTGAGCGGTTCGGTAAAAGCTTGAAAATCGCTTTGGTAGATTGGACACCTCTCATACCTTACAACGAAGGGCGAATCATAGGATTAAAACCTCAAAGGAACCTTCCTCGAAACCTGTTATGGAACGCTATAAGGAAAATCCAAAACTCTCAACATGCGAGGCATTTATTTGGGCATAAACATCATTCCAGTTATGGTATGAGACACTAAAATATTTACTTAAATTTCACATTTAACTTTATCTATAATTTTTTTTTTTATTTATTTATTTATACATGATATTTACAACTGTATTAAAAAATTAAATACATTAAGTAAATTTGATAACAGAAAATAAGAACATGAAATGACTTGTTGAGAAACTACCCACTGGTAGCACTCTAAAAACAAAATGTATTTACAATAAGAGATCTCGAGGCCATCTTCTTTTCAGACGCCTCGGAGGGTTATCAGGAATAGAAGAGGAAGCAAGGTTAGAGACGAGAGGATTCGGATGGTTCTGAAGATCTATAAATTTAAGATGGAAAAGTTTCAGCTAGGAGAAGCTCCAGGAACAGATGGCATAACTCCGGTATTTATCCGGCATTAGTCAGACCTATTAACAAAATCCCCAATCCTACTTCTCCTAAAGACTACCGTCCAATCTCCATTCTTTCTAACCTTTCTAAACCTCTGGAACGAATAGCTCAATTCCAAATCTCTAAATTCCTTGAAAACTCAAAACTACTTGATCCTCTCCAATCTGGTTTTCGACCTCGCTTCTCCACACAATCCGCCCTACTAAAAATTACCAATGACTTACATACCTCAATGGACGAAAAAATGTTAACTGTGTGAATACTTCTCGACTTTTCCAAAGCTTTGGACTCCTTAGACCACTCTATGCTCTACACTAAATTAAAATCTCTATCGTTCTCCAACAGCTCTATCCTCTGGTTGCAGTCTTTCCTATCCGACAGAACTCAAGCAGACAGCGTTCCAAACCAACTCTTATCTTCCATCCTTACACTGTTCTCTGGAGTGGCCCAGGGTTCGACCATTTCCCCTCTCCTTTTTAATTCCTACATAAATAATCTTTCCAAATTCATCTACCACTGTTCACATCATTTATACGCTGATGACTCCCAAATCTATTTTTCCTTTCATCCTTCTGAGCTAATAGTCGCGATCGCCAATATTCAGGCAGACCTAGATAGGATCCGTGCCCGGGCCTGGGCAAGTCTGAATAATTTAAATCTAAACGCGATGAAAACTCAGGCCATTATTAGAGGTTCTATTCTTTTCCAGTTCCAGTTCTTTTCTTAAATGTATCTCCTTCCTTCCTCCTTTAGTCATCAACGATCATCCTATCACATTCAGTTTCTCCGTTAAAAACCTAGGAATCAGCATAGACGAAAAAATCTCCTAGAAACCCCATATCGCCCTCATCTCCCGTAAGTCAATAGGTACCCTTAAGCTATTTCATCGCTCCCGCCACCGACTCCCACAACCCATCCGCAAGCTCCTTGTATCCTCTCTTATTTCCCCCCACTTTAACAATGGCTGTTTGGTGTACAGAGGCATCCCGATGGTACTCAAGAATAAATTGAAGCGACTCATGAATACCTGCTTAAAATTTGTCTTCGGTACATCGAAGCGGTCTCATGTGTCCCACCTTTACGACGAGTTAAAGTGGCTCTTCCCTTCTTTCCGCAGACAATATTTCCTTGAGTCTATAGATAGATAGATAGATAGATAGATAGATAGATAGATAGAAAGTAAACTTTATTCTGGGACGAGGTCCCTTATGAATAACAGTTATGAACAAAAAAATAAAAACTACATCTGGCCAAAAATTACATTAATCAATATTAAAGAATATATACAGTATCTTCAGTAAAAGTATATTAAAACAAGTAAAAATAACACCATTTTGAAAAAAAAAAAAACATTATTTAAATGAAAAAAAAATATAAGCATGGGTTGATTTTTAAAATTAAAACTCAATCAATTTTAACAACCATTCACCTCAGTCAAAATCTGTTTCGCAATATTTATTTCATTGTATAACGTCATTTTGGGATGTGAGAAGGAATTGGTAGAGATGATATTTAAATGAGGACAAGGAAGAGGCATGGCGGATATCAGATGGCAAGGAATTCCAGAAGGCAGTGGATCGGGCAATAAAGGAATATTCAAATGTCTTAGTTCTATGGGAAGGGATATAAAGGTCGGAAACACGGGATCTTGTTTTCTGGGAGTGGACCACGGGTTTGAACTGTAGGAGACTGTAGATGTAGGAAGGGTGTCGGGTGTTGATCGTTTGGAATAGGAAAGATCCAAGGAAATATTGTCTGCGGAAAGAAGGGAAGAGCCACTTTAACTCGTCGTAAAGGTGGGACACATGAGACCGCCTCGATGTACCGAAGACAAATCTTAAGCAGGTATTCATGAGTCGCTTCAATCTATCCTCGAGTACCATCGGGATGCCTCCGTACACCACACAGCCGTAGTCAAAGTGGAGGGAAATAAGAGAGGATACAAGGAGCTTGCGGATGAGTTGTGGGAGTAGGTGGCGGGAGCGATGGAATAGCTTAAGGGTACCTATTGACTTACGGGAGATGAGGGCGATATGGGGTTTCTAGGAGAGTTTTTCGTCTATGCTGATTCCTAGGTTTTTAACGGAGAAACTGAATGTGATAGGATGATCGTTGATGACTAAAGGAGGAAGGAAGGAGATGCATTTAAGAAAGAACTGGAACTGAGAAGACCTATAATAATGGCCTGAGTTTTCATCGCGTTTAGATTTAAATTATTCAGACTTGCCCAGGCCCGGCACGGATCCTATCTAGGTCTGCCTGAATATTGGCGATCGCGACTATTAGCTCAGAAGGATGAAAGGAAAAATAGATTTGGGAGTCATCAGCGTATAAATGATGTGAACAGTGGTAGATGAATTTGGAAAGATTATTTATGTAGGAATTAAAAAGGAGAGGGGAAATGGTCGAACCCTGGGCCACTCCAGAGAACAGTGTAAGGATGGAAGATAAGAGTTGGTTTGGAACGCTGTCTGCTTGAGTTCTGTCGGATAGGAAAGACTGCAACCAGAGGATAGAGCTGTTGGAGAAGGATAGAGATTTTAATTTAGTGTAGAGCATAGAGTGGTCTAAGGAGTCCAAAGCTTTGGAAAAGTCGAGAAGTATTCACACAGTTAACATTTTTTCGTCCATTGAGGTATGTAAGTCATTGGTAATTTTTAGTAGGGCGGATTGTGTGGAGAAGCGAGGTCGAAAACCAGATTGGAGAGGATCAAGTAGTTTTGAGTTTTCAAGGAATTTAGAGATTTGGAATTGAGCTATTCGTTCCAGAGGTTTAGAAAGGTTAGAAAGAATGGAGATTGGACGGTAGTCTTTAGGAGAAGTAGGATTGGGGATTTTGTTAATAGGTCTGACTAATGCTTTTTTCCAAGCGGTAGGAAAAACTGAGTTCTGGAGGGAAAAATTATAGATGAAAAGGAGAACTGGAACGACTTCAGGAAGGCATAATTTTAACAGTTTGACTGATATTCCATCAAGTCCGATGGAGTTTGTGTGGGATTTCATTATAGAGGAAATAAGGTCGGTTGGTGAAATGTTGGAGAAATAGAAATTATCGCTGTAAATGAGGGTGATAGGGAAAACTGGTAACAGGTGGGTGAGCTATTGCTGGTGGTGGAAAATATAAAGTAGCAATTTAGTTCATCAGGTGAAACCGGATAGATCGGTGATAAAGAGGATTTACAAAGAGAGAGTTCACGAAGGGTTAGCCATATTGATTTAGAATCAGGAGCAAAAGGAAGGTTTCGTGAAAGAAGTTTGATTTCGCTTTCTTGATCGTTGTTTGTGTCAAGTTATGGAGCACCCTATAGACTTGATAGTCATCTGCTAGTCGAATTCGTCTGAAGCGTCTACGAGCTGCCTCACGTCTCTTTTGCATGTCACGGATTTCTTGACACATCCAAGGAGCAAGTTTGCGACGAAAGGTTGAGATTTTGATAGGAGCATGTATGTCAAGATTATGGATAAGATTAGAAGTGAGGATGTCTACCATATGATCAATAGAGGTACAGGAATAAATATTGTTCCAGTTTAGGGTTTCAAGGTCAGGTAGGATTTTATCTCGGGTGAGGGTGTCAAGATTGCGAAAAGTTATGGTTTTAGGAAGAAACGTGGGAGTTTGATCGTACGATAATTGGATGAGATCATGAGAAGAAAGGAAAGGAACGGGTAATTGAGAACAGGACAAGAGTTTCTGCTCTGAATAAATGATATGCAAGTCCAGCCAGGTGTCAGACCAACAAGTATGGTGTGCAGGAGCGAAATGAACAATAAAAAGGTTGAGATTGAAGAAAAGGTTTTCCAAGTAGCATTTGTTGTTGGATTCTGTGAGTAGGTTGGTATTAAGATCACCGGAAATTATAATGTTACTATAGAAAGGGACATAATTGTACAAGGTTGATTCGAAGGATGGGTCAAAAGGAATCAAAGTAGGGCGATATAAAGGAGTGGATGTGCTTTACAAGAAATTTCAGCGAAGAGGAATTCAATGTGAGGATGATTGGAAGGGGATGAAATATCTAGAATACGGGGTTTCAGGCTATTGTGAACATCCAACCCAGACCAACACGCCCGCCAGTCCGGGGAACCGGGTCATGACGGATGAAGGTATAATCAGGTAAGGAAACGGAGAAGGAAGGGATGTTGGGCTTAAGCCATGTTTCAGAAACTGCAATAATGTGGTAGAAATTACGGGTGAAATATTGGAGAAATTCGTCATAGTGAGCAGGAAGAGATTGTGAATTAACATTGCAAGTAGTTAAGACGCTAGACATAACGGAAAGGAGAAAAGTATATATATGATGGATGACGCTGTAATTAAGAGAAAACTGTGAAAATAAATTTGGAAACAAGTTAATAATGGCTGTAAGATAAGAGAAAAAAATACATGCAAAATAGAGTTAGGTTCAAAAATATGAAGAAGAAAAAAAAGATTACATTGGTTAAAATAAAAAAATAATTTTTTTTTTTTTACTTTCTTTATTGAATATTAATACATTCTGCCACATTGAAGGGCATTAATATTAAGGCTACATGATTCATTCACACAATATGTACATACAATTAATATCAATAATAAAGAAAAATAAATATAAAAAAAATAAAATAAGTAAATTGGTAT